TGCTGGTCATCTGTTTCATTCTCGACCTCGGAAAAGGGATTTGTCTCAAGCCTTCGACTAGTGATGGCATACAAGAAGAAGAACACCTTGATTCACGTATGTAATCCGCCGAGGCCTCGGGCCGAAGGTGTATAGGGTGTCAGAACAGGCACCCCCCTCCTAATCCTCCCCCGAAGCCCAAAGCCATACGTCGGACCCTTTTTTACCTGGAAAGGGTACCCCCCCCCCGTGGGCGACCACAATCTGAAAGCAGACAGAACGCCAAGACACAGGGCCCCCGCCCCTGCGCCCCCCCCCCCCCCTCCACCCCCCCCCCCACCCCCTTTGCCCCCCTACGCTGCCACCCCCCCCCCCTGCTTGAGGGGCCTGGCTCAACTTTACCATCAATCCAAGCCGAACCGTCTCAACCCTCAACCTTGAAGCTTGAACCTTGAACCCTAAACCCAAAAAAACCCTAAACCCCAAACCGTGAACCTTGAGCCCTAAGCCCTCAACCCTAAACTAACCCTCAACCCTAAACCCTGCTCACGCGGATGCGCTGGGCCGGGCCGAGGCGGGTCACGCAGCGTTAAAATCCGCCGAGGCCTCGGGCCGGAGGTGTATAGGTTGTCAGAACAGGCACCCCCCTCCAAATACACCCAAAGCCATTTCGGACCCTTTTTTTGCCTCAAATGGGTACCCCCCCTAGGAAACCGGGGTCCCAAGCGGACGGTTCGCCAGGACCAGAGGCAGTTCAAGCCCCTCCCAGCAGGCCTCCCCCCCCCCCCCCCCCATCCCCCCCACCCCTCCCCCCCTTCCCCCCCCCTCCCCCCACCACCCCTACCCCCCCCCCTTGCCCCCCCCCACAGCTGAGCCTGGCCTGCAATCTTTGGTTCCGAAGACCAATCCATTCTGTGGCCCTTGCGTTCCATGTCATGGACAACTGAATCTAAGAGTGCTACCAGTAGGAAGTAAAGTCTTGTCTTGACAGTCCGCCCTCAACTGGATTTTTATGGCATTTCGAAAGGGCTTCTGATCTGCAAACAGACTTCTTCAAAATAAAGCAATTGGTTAAACAAACTGCCAGAACATAAGAACAAAAATGTGGTAGTAGATTCATTGCGCATGTCCGATTGCTCAGGCCAAGCAGAAAAAGAGGGCACACCCGGATTTGTGAACCTTGAGCCCTAAGCCCTCAATCCTAACTAACCCTCAACCCTATACCCCAAACCATAAACCATAAACCCGGAACCCTAAACCCTAAACCCAACCCTTATTGCTTGGGGTCCAGCGACTTGGGCGCTGCGGAATCACCATGCCCACGCGGATGCGCTGGGCCGGGCCGAGGCGGGTCGCGTAGAGTTAACATTATAGTACAGGCATACATACACACAAGACCTTCCCAGCAGAAGCATCATCTAGCCTATCAACACCTGTCCCATGTTCCTTATGAAACTCTACCGAGCCCGACTAAACAGCGCAACCAACCTATAATCCAGTTACATGGGGTGAGGGTCGAGTCAGAGAAACGAGACGAACACGCCAAAGACCGAGTCAGAAAACAAGGAAGCGAGTCAGAAAATGGAAAGGCGTGAGTCAGAAAACCGACGAGACGCGAGTCAGAAAACAAGACAGCGAGTCAGAAAACAGCCACAAGCACGCAAAGGTTAACGCCCAGTCCCCCGTCCCCCTCCCCCAAGTAAGGCCCCTGTGGTTGCGGTTGCGGGGGGGGGGGGGGGGGGTTAGGGTTTCAGGTTTTACGGTGTAGAGCTTCAGGGTTCTAAGGTTTAGGCTTTTAGGGTTTTCAAGGCTGTGGGTTTTTGCGTAGGGTTCTGAAGGGTTTTAAGGCTTGTAAACGTTTGTTTTGGGTTGTAGGTTTGAGGGTGTAGGTTTTTAGGGTTTCGGGTTTTTGGGCTTCGGGTGTAGGCACAAAGCATATAGCATGATGTCTTCTCAACCAGAACATGAAATGTAAATACACAGAAACATATTGAACTCTTTCTTTATGACTACATTGCAATCATACTTATGTACAGATACATGCACACACACACACACACACACACACACACACCCACCCACCCACCCACCCACGCACGCACGCACGCACGCACGCACGCACGCACGCACGCACGCACGCACGCACGCACGCACGCACGCACGCACACATCTCTGTGCCAAGAGACAATTAGCTCCTTGAGCCCGGCATGGTAGCTGATCGTCAATCCCCTAAAAGGATCAAGGCTGAAACTCCGCACAACAGCTATGCGACGACTTGCAAGTCTCAGGCCTGCCATCAGTGAAGCATGCTCTGGTCACATCTTTCAGATCTGCAGATCGCTTCTGCAGAAGCTCTCGAACCTTCCAACACTCAGGTTCCTTCTGAGCCTTCTCACACAAGCATCAGGCCGGCCTTCTGTGGTTGAAAGATGTTGATATCGATTGCGGAGAGCATCTTCTCATGGCCTGATGTATTGGGATGTATTGAACTGTGGGCCAAGCCCTCAGCCCAAGTCCTGCACCAAGACATGTCTGAGCCCGAGTGTGTCTGAACATCGCAAAGCACTTCCGTTGAGCTTGAGTTACTTCGCGTGTATTCTTGGATCCCCTTTGCAATTTTTTGTTGAGGCAGCTCGAAGTCAGTCCCGAAGCTGTCGCCGCCCTTGCTGATGGCATGCAGCCAGTCGAGGACAGGCACCCCCATGCGTTTCATTTCACCGTCGGCATCTCGAAGAAGCTTCGCCTCTTTCTCACTTGATGCCAACGACTCAAACTCCGGGCTCAGTATGCAGCTTGTTCACAAATGGCGGCCAACAGCAGAGGAGGCACATAGAGGCACACATGTTGGACTTTGTAGGTTCAAAGACTTAAGTGCATGTGAATGATTGAACAGCATGTCCTGCTCCTTCTCGAAGCCATTGTGCGGAGCGAGGCCAGCAAACACTGGCACGATGCCCAAGTCCCACGCATCAGCTGCAAGGGCCGCAAAGGCCTCACAATCAGTCACCCAATTTGCCAACTCTACCAATTTGGGGAACTTGAAACATCTTGAATCGCTCCGCGCAAGCCATTGAGGCCTGCATACGAAGCACGCAGCGCAGCACAGAACTATGCAAAGACATGGAAGTCAGGATATCCACATCAAACCAATCAAAAGGATGGCCTTCATCGTGTTGTCGTATATATTTTGTCTGTCCCATTCCTGGTCACTTCGACCGAGTGGACCAGCACATGGCTGCGCATGAAGGTGTCGCTCAGTGCCTAGTGCCCCAGTGGTCAGGCAAGGCTCTGGGCAGGTTGCGAGCCATCGCAGCTCCATACTAAATGCAAAAATCACGACCTGACAGGATCTGGCAGGTGCTCTCCTGTGCCTCAAGACATTGGCTTGTGAAGATTTGCCAAGCCTGTGGGGTCGGCTGGGGCAGCATGCTCGAGAGACCCTTCTTCAAAGCCTCCTGCAGATCAGACAAAAAATGACGGGATATCTGACTCATGGCGCTGCTGAAGAAAGCGCCTGTGCACATGACCCCATCTGAGCGGCATTGCAATAGCCATAACCTGAGCGATTGGAACTTGTGTGCAGAGGCGCAGCACAAGCACTTGGAGCAAAGTTTCCGAACTTGCTGCTATGAGGCCGTACTCATGATTCAGAAGTTTGCCGAGCTGTGCGGCCCAGCCATTGTATCCCCTCGCTCCATGCCCCACAGCAGAGTCATCGCCAAGTATCAGGAGCCTCATGGTCGCAACAGTGTCGCAACGCGTCGCAACCATCTGTATGCCTTTGCCACCTTTGCTTCATCACTGGGCCACTTGATGCTCACCATCCTGTGAACGCATGCTTCTCAGACAGGAATCTGCATTCCATTTCCATCAGGTAGATTGAAGCTGGAACCACGATCTGACTTTTCTGCAAGTGCCTGCATCAAAACTTGAGCAGTCCTGGCCTGCAGACTGGCAGGACTCTGACAGACCTCGCCTTTGGATAACAAAAGGCCTCATCCAAGGCTTCACCTCAGAAGATCTTGAGAAGCACGCGCCAGGCACATGATAAGCTGAGCAAAGCTTGAGAGAAGTTCAACACTCCATACCTGATGTTCTTTGATGTACGTGGTTGTATGTGCTTCTCTCTGCTTTTCAGAACAGCCCCGCCCGTTGATGCACGGGCGCCAAAGTCGCCATCATCCACGACAGAAGATGTCGTCACGGCATCCGGCGAAACGCAGCGATTGTGGCCATCAAACTCCTGAGTGAACCCCAGAATCTCGATTTCATGCGCAACAGTGATCTGATTACGTGATCGGACTTGCTGTCAGAGTTCCCAAACGGCCTCCCCGTCGCCCCTTAAGCGCACCTAGGTTCATGCAGGTTCGCAGATCGCGACAATAGCAGACTACATCTGACCACCTCTTGAAGCTTCACTTCATGCTGCAAGCAGATGCATGCAGGTTGCATATTTGTATTCCACTCCACTTCCCAGCTTCAGCGGAATGGACTTCCACAAGGGGTAGTCCTCAGCAAACAAGTGCATGTTTGAGGACAGAACAGGATTCCCTAAACAAGGACTTCAGGGCTTCTCCAAGAACGCCTAGAGGCCTTCTCTGTCGTTGAAAGCTCAATGCTCCCTTCCCAGGGATTCCAGTTGCCGAGCTCATCGCCACCACCAACGAGCCTCAGTCGGAATTATAACTTATCGCATGCTTCAAAACGATTAGGAGACGGACACAGCCAACAGTATTCACTCACATGGTCTTTCTTTCATACGTGCTCTTGCTGCATCAGGTGGCACAATCCGGTCTCCAAAGCTCGTTTCGGCACGGACGGAAAAGGTGACCTCGCAGCCATCTGGGTTGCCTGGACTTTGCCCAGCTGTCACGTACCCTGCAGCGCATTCACGCTGATCCATGGCGCAGAGCATTACGCTTGAGCCCCACATAGCATTTGAATCGCCACACCGGCTCAAAGAAGGATACACATCTGCCTAACAAACCGCAGCATTCATCCAAAAACCACGATTGGCTTGCCTCGGCCTTATCATTCTTTGCATCTGCCTGATGTCAAGATTGAACGAAGTACAGCTAAGTAAGAGAGCAGGTCGCGACAGGTTAGAACGCGAGGCCTTCTCCTTTGTTTTGTTGTCAACTTCTGCCGTCTTTGCCTGGCTCTCGAGTGCTGCTGTGAAGATGCCTGCCGTCCTCGCACATCTCCCGTTCGACCCTTCAGCCTTAATATTCTCGCCGGTTTCGGCCACGAACTTCTCGTACCTTATGTTTGGTGCACATCTTCAGTTGACAAGTATTAAAAGGCTCCCCCGAACACCCGGAGTTGCCAAGACTTCTACGACTCGCTAATGCACGTCATTCTCGTCAAGTCGATCGGTTGCACTCAGCGCCCAACGATGTTTGCGCATCCTGCTCAGCTGAAACAGCTTCCGCCTGGCAACAATTCTCAGTGGGCATCTTCATCACAAAGGCATACGACCCTTCTACCCTACACCACAGGCTCCAAAGGTTCTTCGCATGATTCCGGGCACCCCCGAAAAAAAAGCCAGGACAGCTTTCCAGAAGTGTCAGCATTTCTTAGGCGGCTGATTCCGGGCAGATGTTACTGAGCACAACATAGACCACAAACGTAAGCGGAGGAACAAGAAAGCACGGCAAATGCGACTAGCTGCGGTAACTTGAACATGCGCCGTATTGACAACACCTACTTAGGAGAGCGCACGGCCAAACCGAACATGGCTTGGCTTGACACGGCTCTGCCGGGGGCTTGGAAATATAAACACCTCATCACACAAGTTCATGTTTCATGCCTTGCGATGAACAACCCAACGACCTAATTGCACACATGCTTCAGAACTTTCTCGCGCCCGTGACATGCTATGCCTTACCATCTTGGGATGGAGGCAGCAAGATGCACGGCAAGAGAAAAAGTAACCCTCCAATGGTGTTGATGGGTGTCAATTGCGGCCTCCAACTTTGCGGAGTCTGCGATGATGGTCTCAATCAGCGCGATTGCCTCAGTCCGACTCAGTCCAGGCCGCATCTTTCCTGGCAAGCCGATGTCCTCCACCCCTTGACGCAGCTAAGCTCAAGTCACCAGCACCCCCAGCGTTCTTCTTGTAATCCTCCGGACTCGCAAGGCACCACGGCCGCCAATGCTGAACTCAAACCACAGTCATAATCACTCGCTCGAGAGACCACCGTTCCGCACTGAAACCACTACCCCGCACTCTCACACCGGAAGAACGAGAGAGAGAGAGAGAACAAAAAAACTTCTTTCGCTTGTGATTTGGAGCACCGGAAGTGTAGAGTAGAAAGCAACACTGCCACGCGCGAGCGGGCTTTGGTTGTGAGGAGATGGTAGCGCGCTGGGTTCTTTGCACGAACAGCCTTCATCTTCTCAAAAGCAAGCCAATACAAGCCACCTCAGTCACGACCCAGACGGCTGCAGTGGAACAAATGCCCAAGGATGCTACACCACGCGGCACACACGCACACACACAATGGTCTGCAAATCAACCTTCTGAGCATCGGGGAAACTCAAACCTCCCCAAGCCATGAAAAAAGGTATGCCACCAGCAGCGTGGAATCACAATCTTCCGGCAACAACAAGGCCGGCCCGGCCAGCTCGCATTTCTGCAGCACCTGCAGGGGCAGAGGGAGGGGCCTCCTTGACTCGGGGGAGCGACCACTTGTCGTGGCCTTCCCACGCCTGATTAACGGTGACGACAGGCCTATCGACGAGGTCGGGCGCTGACAGTGTAAGGCGACAAACTTAGGCGAGACGCCGCAGAGCGCCTGCACCCTCGATCACCATTTGCTAGAAGGACATCCGGCATGTAAGCGAGAAACGAACGCATGTCATTAGCGTTGGCAACCCCTCGAGAAACCCCAACCAAATGGAGGCAAGCGGGCTCCGCTCAGCCCCCTCCAACATCCTACGTGACCCAACCTTCCAACCCCTCGGAGACGCGCGCGCTGCGAGGCGCTCACACAGAAGCTCAGGCAGAGTGAGGTGGATGCTCAGCAGGGCCCCGCTTTCGGCGAAAATTCACAGCAGGGCGAGGCAAGCCTGAATCGGCCGCAGCAGAGCAAAAAAAGAAGAGCGGGACAGAAAGTGAGCTTTTGCAAGAAGACACCTGCACTGCCACCACCGTGCCCCGCCGGCAACACAAAAAGGAGAGCAAGCTGACCCAACAGGCAACACGCAAAATGACAAAAAGGTGGGCGCGCAAGCATTCCAAGCGCTTTGGTTCACTCGTCTGCTCAACGAGCTGGAGGAAGAGGCATCGAACTCATCTGACAGTTCTCGTTACTCACAAGAGAAAGGGGAGGGAGTGATGTCGAATTATCATTCGTTTATTGCTGACCGCTGTCGCCCACAACTTGTTCAGCGATTATTCCGCTTTCAGAACGAACGAGAGCTCCTCGAAGCCTTCAGGGCTGCCAAGATCCTCTGGCTGCTCCTAGCGATGCTATGCGATGCTATGCGATGCTGGCTCTAGCAACATGCCACACGTGCCCCACACCACCCACGGTAACTCCGCCTCATGGGCCCTGTGAGCTCGAATCTGGGCCAAGGAAGCCCTGAAGGTTCGCGAAGGAACGAAGTTCTTTGCAACGCCATGCGAAAAAAAACGTGCAACGTATGCCTCTCGGCTGAGTTGCGGTAGAAGTCGCCGAGGAACTCCGGAACAGAGCATTTATGCCGCTTTGTAACATTGTAGGTGCAGATTTCAGTCACTGCCTTGACCGCCTTCTTCAGAACAACCTGCGTCTGTCTCCTAAGTGAGAGGACTATCAGACTTACAAGACTTGAGTGTTCTTCTGAGCAGCAAGCTGGTCATCTGCCTCGGTTTGAAACCTCCAGCCGACTGCTGAACACGCACTGGTCAGCACGCTAAAGCGGATGTTGTGGATCTAAAAGCCAATTAAGACGACCACTTGACGTTCTCCTTCCTGGAATGATGACGGGACTGAGGGAAAAGCAGCGCACACAGCTAAAGCGTGTGACCTGTGACTCATTGCGGCACAGGCTCTGTCGGGACTGGCTGGCAAGTTGCACTTGCTTCTGCATCTCGGAAATCTGCGCAAAGGCAAGATCGATGGACAGAGAAAATTCGGCGACCACTTGATCTAGTCCCCTTGCACACGTTACGCGTGTCCAGAGATCTCTGGCCTGGCCTCTGAGTTCAAGCTCTCGATCTGTGCCTCACAATCGCTCACCTTCTTCTTCAAGGCCTTGGATGACATGGAAGTCGGCTGCAGCAACAGAATAAGGAAAGGGCTCCAGCATCGATCTTGTCCTCAGCTCGGCTCTTCACACCTGGACGAAAGTCCGGAGATAAGCCGACACAACTGACTCAGTATACTCAGTGCCTCATGTTGGCGTGTTCAATTTTGCTTGTAAGGCTCCAGCCCTGCTTGTCCTCGGTGTTGATCTTGTTCTGGTTCAAGTCATCCACACACATCTCTTTGTGCCTTGCAATGAAGTCACGAAAGCCCCAAGTTGTGAGAGCAACTCTCCCGCTGTCCCGCGGACGACACCATCACACTGGCACCACTGGCTCTCACCACAGACTCTCACCACAGCTCTCAGATCTCCGAGGCACCGAGGCCGGCGCTTCAAGGGAACATAAACAAAATGTGTTCTGATCATGTTTGATCAATACTTGCTTTCTTCGACGTTCCTAAATATTTTTCGATGTTCTTCGAACCCACAACATGACATCCATCATCATCCCTCTCCCAAAGATGTTCCAGCTTGACGATCTTGATTTGTTTCTGACCCGATGGGTCCTGTTGGGTCCTTGCTGTGAACCCACGGCGGTCCCCCTGGGTTAGAAACCTTCCCAACAGCTGCGGGGCCCGCAAAAAAAAAAATGTATTCGCAATTTCTACCGACGGGAGGGGACTCCCTGACCCTTCCAGGCTCACTTCGTTCGAGAAGCTTTCGTGAGTTGCGCTAGGACTCCAAGGGACGCGCATCAGTTGCACTTGGAGACCTTGAGCCTACCGTGCGGATTAAAACTCAATGCGTGCACTCATGCGTGTGGTTACCTGAACTTGTTCATGAAGGTTGAGGTAGCAGGCTTCGCAACCACGCACGGACAGCGAGGTTGCTGCGCACTACGCCGCATAGGCGGAGGCTTAAATGACTTCGCGGAGCTAAGGCGCCACGTGCTCGTGCAATTTGCCCACTTGCCATAAAACATGTCTCGCTCACTGGGCCCCTAGCTTTGATACACAACCATGTTTCATCATGTTTCTCAATCCCTGGCAATACAATCTGAGGTATCAGGCTTGAGCTCGTCTTCCTGCTCTTTCTTCAACGCCACAATCCTTAGCGGTCTGGAAACTGCATATCATATGGCTGTCTACATTGTGCATTTGCCTCTGTTGCTTGAGGTGGTGGGTGTTACAGAATGGATCAGACGGAGAACGACAAGCAATCTTAGGCATTCAACCAGTGACATGGTGCTAAGCCCGCAGCATCTCCTCAATGGACGCCTTGACCTTTGTGAAGGCATCGATCCTGCCCGGACACGCATGGTGTTGATTCAATGTCTGGCCAACCAGCCGCTCAGCAACCATGTATAGTTACAGCAAAAAACTTCCATGTGCCACCATGTGCTGGCCAACGATCTCCACGAATGAAGCTAGACACGCGCCAGCTTTTACACACACAGCGGCGCTAGTTTGCACAAGCACAGCTGCTAGATTTTATCGTTCCAGGCGAGTGCCACAAACAAACCTCCAGTTGCAGAGAGCATCTTACCATCTGCTTTGCAAGTGTGCCCATATACCTGCTTAACTCTGTATGCTGCTTGCGTGTTCTAACAAGCAAGCCTTTTTGGCTGCGCTCCAAAAAACAAAACCCCTGGCGGGGTTGGAATAAGCCTTTAAGGAGGGAGGGGGTAGCCTTAAGATTGATGGAATCAAACATTGGGGGGCGGGGGGGGATGCTCCCACGTTCCCACACCGTTCACCAACTGATTTTCATACCACTTGGGCCGCGGTCGCCTGTTGGCCCACGTGACACACTTGAGAGAGTGGTTGATTGGTAAACGACAACTCCGGCACGCTCCAAGGAGATAGTTTTCATGACAGAGCTTTCACCTGACCTGGCGGGTTCCAGCTCCATAGTAGCTCAGCAAATTGTGGATATTGTGCGGACTCGTGACTTGTGCAGTTGGCGGGAGTGCGTGCACAGGAGAACAAGGCTGACGAAACGCCAGTGCCTGCAGCCTCTCACCACTTCCCTCCCCAACTCAGAGAAGCTCTGGATCACTGCCACCGCTGCTGCTCTATTCAGTCTTCCTCGCCTGCCCCGGAGCCCCAAGGTGACCAGGCGCTGAACACCAAGCCTCGTGTACTGGAGGTGCTAGAGTAATTTTGCGGGACAGGCACAGTGGGAGACGAACCGGCGGCCCTGCTCCATCAGGAATGCCTTGCTGCACATGTGGATTCAAAGAGCCAGGATCGAGCATACTCAGCCATCTTAATCCAAGTTTCGCTGGCTTTGCTGGCAGCTCGCTCTGCCCGCTCAGCATGTGCCGACCTTGACAAGGTTTCCAAGCCGAATGTGCCAAAGGCGAGGAGAGCCCGGGGACGTGGCTGCTGCAAAAGCGAGACTGTCTTCCCAAACAAGTCACGTGACTCTTCACCTCATTCACAAGGCATCACAAAGCTGAAGCTTCAAAGCTTCCCAAAAGGCCACCAACTCAGACGGTGGACTGAAGACCGCTTATGCAACGCACAGAACGTATCTTTCCCGAGCGTAGCTTCGGGTCAAGTAAGCTCGGCTGAGGCATTTGCTGCGCAGGACCTGGCTTCGACATGAAGACCCAGCACGACCACATCAGGTCATGTTCGCTCAGACCCTCAAATGTGTGCATTTGTCTCACTTGCAAGACATGCGCAATGTGAAATTGTCGAGTTTGCGAGCCCCCGGGTTCATTCGACCATCCCTCTTGCTGTTCTTGTGCCCTGACCCTTGCTCTTCTTGCTTGGAGACCAAAAACCCCAAAGACGGGCAAGAAGGATCAAAAAGGGAAAGACTGTCAAGATGGCACGAGAATTTATTAATTTCATCCGTAAATACTCCCTGCAAGCAGGAAGGGCAAGAAATTAATTGTAAAGACATGCGGTCTATTGCGGTCTGGTCTGTCTTGGCAAGGGCAGGACGGGCAAGACAAACAAGACGGCACAAAGACTTAACTTCATTAAACCCTATTGTGACATGCTCCCTTCTTGCCCTTCTTGCTCGTCTTGCGGTTCAGAGAACAACCCTAAACCCTAAAGATGGAAAGATAGCAAGACGGCGAGACGGGAAGGACGGGCAAGACAACGTGATCTGTCACCCAACAGAACCCTAGATCCCGAAGCCTCGTGAGAGATGCTCCCTGTTTGCCTCCATTGTCCTTCTAGTTACTAGTTCTTCGTCTTACTTACATAGATCTGTTAGAGCCTAACAATGCCTAACAGCAGTCAGTCTTCTGGGAACCAAACAGGCGGAAGCTATTGCAAGAGGGGCAAGGCAGGCAAGACTGCGCGTTGATCCAGCAAAGGTTCTTCCAGGCCAATGCAATCACTTGGCTCCAGGATGTTCCGGACCTGCCTGGATGGTCTTGGACACAGCCGTCATCTCTTGCATTCGACTCTGCATGCCTGGCATCATGCATTCGACCAGCTTTCACACCAGGTCAGCAGTAGCGGCCGAGCGCCGGGCGTTCTTTGAACTTGTCATCGCTCCTGGCCGTGCGCAGGCCATGCGAACACATAACCAAAGCCGCAGCTAGGCCAGCAGCTAGGCTCTAATCCCATGAAGGCATCACGTTGTGCATCGATTCTCCACAGCAGCCTGAAACCTGAGCTTGATCTCATTGCTCCATCATGCCCATCATGCCCATCATGCCCATCATGCCCCAGGCTTGCCCCCTCCGTGATTTCTGTACCGAGCCACTTCACGTCCGCTGCGATGGACTTGGTCGTCGCCTTGATGTCTTGCTTCGACGCCTCCTGCAGAAGTTGTGGAGAACATTTGGAACAACTGCTGGACTCTAGTGGCATGACATCGGTCGGTCCAGGGTGGTTTCAGCATCGGACTTCTCCTCCACATAATTGGTAAGGGCAAAGGCGGCAAACAGAAAGACTACCCGAGCCGCAGTCAACCATTGCATCTCTCGGAGATCTCGTGAGCACATCAGCAATGGCAGGTGGCAAAGGCGCTCATGGAGCTGCACGTTACAAACAGAAGCCTACATGTTGGCCAGGAGACATTGAAAATTAACTGAACGGAAATAAAGATTGGAAAAAGATGAGCCATGTCAGAAGAAGAACTTGGACCGCTGACTTTCAACACTTCGAGAGTTCTGCGGCGGCTAGCAAACAAGTTTACGTAACTTTTGTATCCTGCGTTCTCTGTGAAACGGTCTTCTCTCAGAGCCTCCCTGCTCTGCCTCTTGCTGCCAGCCCAGGCATTGACGTTGCAGCATTTCGTGTTCCTCTTCCGTTTTCCTGCGCTGCTCTGCCTGTTGCTCTGCTTCTTGCTCTGCCTCTTGCTCTGATACTCGGCTGCTTCGTTTTGCTTCACTTGCTCGCGACTCGACATCGCTCTCATCCCCGGAAAGCGGAGGCTGTGGATGTCGAGCCGGCAGAGCTCCCGACGGCGATGGAGGCAGCAGAAGAGGCCGCGACGGTGGACGCCGGAAGCACGAGCTGCTCGCACAAAAAAGAAATAGGCCGGTGCAGAGGGAACCCTCAACTTTCAAAGGCTTGGACTCAAGCGCTACGAAGGAACCACGATTCAAAGCTTTGTAGACGCACCGCTCAAGGTGCTTTGGGTTGTTTTGGCTTGGCTTTTGCGCATTTCTCAGGAATCCCCTTGCCTGCGTCTTGGCAACGATCTGCTCCTCCAACACCTTCTTTTCGTCAGTCTTGGCCGCAATGAGTGCCTGATTCAGTCGAGCTCTCGCGACGACGTCATGTGAAAGCTTCATGTCTGCCAGGCTGCCTTGAAGGACTTGTCGTTCTGGCTTTCTTCGGACACCTCTTTCTGCAAATCTTCCTGATGTTGGCTCGCGCTGCAAACTGCTTCTCACGCGACATTCTGCAAATTCACAGGTCGACTCTGTGAGCCGCGCATTGAAGTCATCCAGCATAGTCTGGAGAATGCCGACAATCGAACTGGACCTCAAACTTGGATGGTGAAAGGCGTTGAAAGACAGACACAGAGACGGAGAGAGAGAGAGAGAGAGAGAGAGAAAGAGAGAGCGAGAGAGAGAGAGAGAGTGAGAGAACCCTTCCTGCCCCAATCAAGTCGTGGAGGTGCAACGAGCACATTGGCAGAGGGCGGCACGTGCTGGTCGGATCTTCTCGCTGCAGGAAGGCATTGCCCTGCCAGGAAAGTGCATGCAAGAGTGCACGAGCCTAACGATTACAAGCAATGAGAGTGATGATGACCGTGTTCACCTAAGTGCACCAGGCCTTCACGAGCTTGGAAGGATCTTTCAGAAAATCGTCTAAGGTGACCCTGTCGGCACCTGTGGATCCCGGGTCTCACGCTAGAACCGGATGAGTCGGCAGATGCTCAGACGCCAACGGGAGAGCTTGCTGTACAAAAGTGCACCACGATTCTCGATCACCTGCTTCCAGAACTACTTTGCCATCAGTGCTCTCAGGTCACATGGAGCCCGTGAGACTCATACAATCTTCAGGGCATTGACAGCTGTTTTCCCCCTCGTTGTTTCCAGATCTGTTCTATGTTGTGTTGTTGGTGCGATTTCTTGGCTTTTTGGTGAGGCTTGCCATATTGCCCGTAAGCACCTTCACTTTGACGAAGAACCATCTCCCCAGCGGTGCTGAAGCTCCAGGCTTTTGTGGTGAGATCGGTTCTCGGTTTGGGGCCTTCGTACGCTCACAAGCTTCTGGCACAGTTCAGAGTACGCGCACTGCATGTCTGTTGCAATTTGTACAATCCTAGACCCGTTCAAACAGAAGGTTGGGGGGGGGTGTTAAGGGGGCTTCTTCTGCTACGTTTCTCTTGGGAGTGGAACAACGGCTGCATGTCGATGAGATGAAATCTCGATGAGGCCGTGGGGCGTGGGGGCGTTAAAGTCAAGGCTGCGGTCTTGTCAGTCACCAGAACCGCGGCGTTCAAAAATGATCCATCAACTAGTAAAGAAGGACCCGAGACGGTGGACCGAAGAATCCTCTCAATAGCATATGCATATGCCAGAGTGAACATGTGCGTGTGGGGGAGGGAAACTTTGTGCTCTTCATTCATCCGAGCAGAAAGGCCACTGGCCAATAAACCAAATGTGAATGTGATGAGTAGAAATATTTATTCAGCTGGGTTGGCGATCGGAGTCAACTGGGCAGCCCCGTTCCAAAAGAGCACTGCGCTTTTCCTGGGAGCGCACGAACATGCTTGGAGTTCACCTGCATTCATTCTTTGACGCACCTTTGACCCACGTGCTTTGCAAAGTACTTCCTTCTTATCCTCCTTCATGGACCATGGATGATTCAGACAAGAATGCGATGTTCAGGATCTCAGGGACATTTTGGCAGGCTGAGGGCTGTAAACTAGGAAGCGAGAGCTTCCGGCCTGTTGCAGACCGTGCGCCAAGGCTTTCCTCCCACAAGCACGCTGGTAGTCACGGAGTGCTCTTTTGCATGCCACGATCTCCGCATTCGCTCTTTCAAGCTTAGTCGGCCGCATTTCGCTAGGCGACATTTGCAGCAGTGCAGTTCCTCGGCACTGCAAAGGGACGGTCGGGCGACCGTTGCATGTGTCAGGAGCTGCCGGCCAGCATTGGCCGCGTAGGCCTGCTTCATCTCGTCCGATGCACTGCCTAGCCAAATCTCATGTCACATCATATCAAGCGCAGCATGGACAACAAAGTGTACGGTCGCTGAGAAAGCAACTGTTTAAGGCTGTGATGGCCTTCGAAGCCTGCACATCTTGAAAATGGGCAGCTGTGACTGTCCATTCTATGGTAACGAAAACCTGCCAGCAACAACATGCTGCAGCAGTGAACGACCCCGACCTGGTCGATTGAGGCGAGCAACGCTGCTTCATCCTCCTTGAAGGCTTCCACCCTGGATTTGTGAAGGAGGTGGCCGCTTCACGTGCTGGCATGTCGTGACACAACCTGTACATCTGAGATGCCCGCTGTTGTTTTCGGATTGCGTTGGCTTTATCCACAGTCTGCCACGAGCACGAGCGAGCACGCACGGACACTGCATGAAAGCTCATCCCATCGAGTTTGCACTTCTTTGGTTTGCCCTGGTACCACCTGGATGAAGTCTTCGCATGAAAACATGTTGAACGAGTATTCCAACAGTTTCATTGGCATGTCCAACACTGCAGCATGTGAAATGTCTACACCACGGCGCTTTTTGCACCACGCGCCCCCAACACTAAAGAGGGTGCAACACTAATGCATTCAATTTCAGGGTCTTCTTATCCGCACAAAGTCACTCAAGGTGATGTGGCTGAAGCGGCGTCGGCGTCGGCGTCGGCAACATCGGCGTCGGCGTTTGCGTAGGCGTCGGCGGCGTCAGCGTCGACGGCGGCGGAGTCGACGTCGACGGCGTCGGCATCGCCTTCGGCATCGGCGTCGGCATCGGCGTCGTGTCCGTGTCGGCGTCAGCGTCTCTCCAACAAATAGACCAGCCTAAAGGACGGTAACCAATTCAAGAAGCTAGCAGTCCGGCCACTTGGATGCACTTGAGTACAGCTCACGTGCCACAAGGTTGCTGACACCTGTTCTCCAGATAGCGACTGCATGATGTCACGCGGCGAGGTCCCCAGCGCATTTTTCCACACAAACCGACACCGACACCGACACCACCGACACCGACACCGACGGCGACACCAACAACACCGACACCACCGACACCACCGACACCGACATTCAGAACGATCCTCTGAGTATTCACCAGCATTCAGCCTCAGCACGCCCGTTGGCAACACTCTGCAACCATGCCAGCTAGGCCGCTTTGTTTTTGTTGAGCTCGACGTTGGATGTACGGATTTGCGTTCCAAGTTGATCGATCTTGGGCCCCAGCTCCTTCAAAGCACATTTCAGCAAACTGGCATGCTAAGGAGCAAGCCTTCCTCGACGAGAGCATTCAAACTTGTCAGCTTCTCCCTGGGAGCACTGCTATGCACTGCTGTCGCGTGCAGCACTGAAGCTAAGCTGAAATCCAACGACCAAGGTGGTGGCTGAGCAGCTGCAACTGCCGCAGATTTATCATCGTTGTTCTGCTTGCACCAGCATTCCTCAGATGGCAAAGGCTTCTGTGTATCATCCGCACCTTATCTTGCAAAGCTGGGCAGCTTGCGAACTTTTCCTTCAGTTCCTCGTCTGCCTTTTGTTCCTCCTCCAGCTTCTGCGTCATCGTCTGCCGCAGGATCCAGCTCAAGCTTGGGACAGGAGTGCATCTTTCAGAGAAAAAGAAGAACACCCAACGGTACCTCAAGAAGCGAAACGACCTTTGTGACAGGCTTTTGGCCGTCCATCTCGTCCAGCTGGAGCGATAGCTCCTCGGCATGGCCTGTTGGGCGCCGCTGAAGTAGAAAAACTGATGAAAGCCGTATGTTGTTGTTTCATGTTGTTTCCATTGCTTACATTGCAGTCTGGCAGCTCAGCCATATCGCGGTCAGGAGCACACTGCGGAGCATTGCAGACGAAGACCTGCACCAAACGTAGCTTAAGCATCTCAGCATCTCAATCAAGTCGTCAATTGGACAGCCAAACAACAGCCAAACCAGTCAAAGACGTCTCCCCAACTCCCTGCGCCTCGTCAGCTTCAATGTGGCTGAGCGGCACCTAGCCAAGCAGCCACGCACATGCCCGTCCCACTGGAGCTTGGCCAACAGCTAAGTCAAGTATTTTCGCCGAGGCCGAGCACCGAAGCGAAGCAGTTGTGCTACTTCGCTGCTCAAAGGTGCCGGGCTGAGAGGGGATGGCGTCGGCCAAGATGCTCTCATGCACTTGCTGTGACCTCCCTACGATTATATACAGCCTCTTGCACAACTTGGAACCTGCACAAGAGATCACATGAGCCTCGACACCTTTTACACTGCTCCTCGTGAGCTGTCGTGCGCACGCCATGCCCTCCTTTGGAGGAAGAATGGCGCAGCACGTCAGATGCTAGAAGCACAGTGTGCGAATTTTTGCAAGCAGCTTTTCTCGCTCTTCTGCTTCCATCGGCACCTTGCTGCGAACAGTCACCGAGAAGCTTTGAGGACCAGGGCCAACAACAGCTAGCGTGGTTTACTGTTGCGGGTGGGACAGTGCATGCTGTCTGATTCGATACGTACTATCAACCCCCCACACAGTGCGATGTTTGGAGCCTGCAGGCAGCCCATGAATCAGAATCGGACAGGTCAAGGCTGGGTCCATGACCGCTTGAGTGATGGTCTCGCGAGCTTCCGAAGAGTTCCCAAGCAACCTCCAGGTTGAAGCGCGGAGAAACCCCCGAAACTCCGGAACCCAGGACCCCCGCAGCTCTCCCCAACAGGGGCACCTCAAGGCACTGACCGCCCACGCTCGAGTCCTGGCTTTGCCATCCTCACAAAAAGCACAAAAAGACATGCTAATCTCAGAGCATCTTGGGTTAGTCAGGGTAGTCTTTGTCACGTCCCACATGTCCCATGTTACGTTCCCACTGCACCTTCACGAGTGCGACCAGAGCTGGCAGTGGATCTGCCAGTCGAAGTTGCATCTGGCAAATTCAGGGAGATGAAGCGATTCAATAAACCAGCAACGGCGATGGCAGCGTCATCCCCACCACCTCCAACCCGGCCCCCACCACGCCCCCACCCCGCCCCAAACACCACCAACACCAACACCAGCAGCAGCAGCAACATGACCAGGAAGGATGGCTACCAAACAATGCAACAGTTGCCAGCTCCAAAAGCTGGCGCCGTGGTGAACACTCGGATCTGACCCTCCGCCTGCAATCCGGTGGTCCTAACGTACGCAACACCCATCAGTCAGGCATGAGATATACCCCCCGACAATGAGTGCCCTAGAGGGCAGCATTTTATACCGATGCTCTGGGCTGTACATTCCCAAAAAAAGAGAGCGTGCAAATGGGGCGCAAACTGAAAAGCAGACCGTCAGACAGTCAGGCAGTCAGACAGTCAGACTGCCAGACAGTCAGACAGTCAGACAGTCAGAGAGTCAGCCATTTTCTTTTGAGGAGAATTGCGTGCTCACGGGTCTCGTATCCAAGTACAATAGAAAAGTGAATTCAGTGAAGTTGGGTAGTCACACAGCTTCTCGGATTATGTGTTTGAGTGTCGGCGCAGCCCAAAGTGTCTGAGGGTCTGACTGGCTGAAAGTCTGCAGGTCCTATATCTCTCACTGTCTGAGTGTCTGACTGTCTTCTGTTTTTAATGTGCAGAGAGTTAAGCAGTCAGACAGTTAGACTTTTCAAGTCTAGAACACGCAAGCCGACCTGTTCATGTCTAAATGTCTGAGTGTCTGAGTGTCTGAGACAGTGAGACTCTTCGAATCCGGAATACACAGACCAGCAAGTCGGACAGGCAGACAGTCAGACAGTCAGACAGTCAGACAGTCAGACTCTTGAAGTCCAGCATACGCGGACCGAGATCAGACACTCAGACAGTCAGACTCTTTAAGACCAGCTCGCGTCTGAATGTCAGTCAGACAGTCAGACTCTCAAAGAGCAGCTCACGTCTGAATGTCTGAATTAGCGGACCAAGAAGGCAGACAGTCAAACAGTCAGACAGTCAAACTCTTCAAGACCAACTCACGTCCCAGGGTCCGAATGACTGAGTGACTGAGCGTCTGAGTGACTGAGTGTCTGAGTGTCTGAGTGTCTGAGTGTCTGAGTGTCTGAGTGTCTGAGTGTCTGAGTGTCTGAGTGTCTGCTGCACGGAAACGACCCCCGTCAGACTCTTTAAGACCAGCTCGCGTCTGAATGTCTAAATTAGCAGATCGAGAAGGCAGACTGTCAAACAGTCAGAGAGTCAAACTCCTCAAGACCAGCTGACGTCCGATGGTCCGAATGTCCGAATGTCGGAATGTCTGACTGTCCGACCGTCTGACTGTCTGAGTGTCTGACTGTCTGAGTGTCCGAGTGTCCGAGTGTCTGAGTGTCTGAGTGTCTGAGTGTCTGAGTGTCTGAGTATCTGCTGCCCCGTCCGCGCCCCCAATCCATTAGATTCTGCAGACCATATCATGAGGACATGCAATGTACCCTTCAAGCACCAACCCCTGGCAGGCTTCTCAGGTGCTCGTATTAATAAGCACTGTTATAGGATTTGCCTGAACGCTTTCCAACTCCGGATCGCTCTGGTCATGGAGCCCAAGCGAAGGGGGTCACAAAAAGCCAGGGCGTTGGCCTGAGGACACCGGAAGGTCCCGACACCAGGTCGTCAAGGCCCAAGATTCGTTTCCGACTCAGCGAGAATGGCAAACGACTAGTGCCATTTGGAGTTGTTGCTGGATGTTGCACTCAACGCATGCAGCCCACCAAAGCTTCTTTGACGCGCATTGTGCTGAGCGAGTCAGACTGGACTGGGTCACAACGAACAAAGCTGCAAGCTCGTCGAACATGGGCTGGGTAACCTCCATGTCACCCCGCGCCGCGAGTTGGAAGATGGTCTGGGCCGCTGCACAGCGGATCTCTTCTTCCTTGCCTGAGCGGAAGTTAGTGACCATATATGCACACTCATTCCATCTCCACCCGCATTTTAGTTCACCACTCGGGTTCGGGCCTTGTAGAAGCTGCACGATGGTGGGCACCTCGCCTCATGTCAAGGCTTTGTGCTCGACAACTCTTGACCTTGACAAAGACTGCGTCCAAGGAGCTGGACAGAGCCTCTTCGACCAAATCGGTCCCAAGGTCCTGGATCACAGTTTTTCACACCGCAAACTGCAAACTATGGAGGTCCCCATGGAGGTCCCCATGGCATCCCCTCATTCCCCCCCCCCCCCCCATGAGGAACGGAGAAGACCTACCCGGTTCGACCTCCGACCAAATGTTGGGGCTTGCTTTGGCCCACCCCCGCTCCCTACTCCGTTTAGGGTTACAGGCAGTCGCGTTGGTCAAGTTCCCTGTTTTGAGGGTTTTGTGTCTGCGGTGCCATGCAGTGTGCACATTTCTGATAAACGTAAGAGCTGTGCAGACTGTAATCGGCGCACCGCTCTGCTCACTTCTCTCTCGACAGAAGACTTCAGAACTCTGCCTCAGCCACGGCCTCTTCGCCGCTTTCACCGGCAGGGGCAGTGTCGACGGTAACGATGGCAGCGATGGCCTCGGCTGTTGCATCTCGGTCATTGTCCATCGCATGCTGCCTACTCTCTACATTCCTCACAACTGTACTGTCTCTTGACCATGGTCGCTTCTGCACTTTGCTGGCTTGGCTGAGAATGGGGCTGTCAAGGCCTGGCATTGGTGTTGCAAACGTGTTGCTGCGTGTGCAGCGTGTTGCAAGGTTTGCGAGCATTTGGCAAGGCTCTATGATCGCGAGCCTGCTCCATACTGCTGGTAGCTGCAGCAACCATATCCTTGAGGACGGATAGGGCACCGGCCTCACACAGGGACTGTGGACAGGGATTCCGTGAAATGCCCTTGGTGCTGCATCGCACACAGCTCCTCACGGCTGGCCTTCATTAGTCGCACTCTCAACCAGTTTTTGCCTCATCTCACAAGCGGCACTCCAGTTCACTGAACTTTCAAGGCTGTGCACGCGCCAAGCTGGGCATTCAGCAGCACATCAAAGCTACGACTGCTGCTGCCTGCGGCAGGACCACATGAGCGATCAGCGGATGTTAATCTCACATAGTAGCACGAACTGGTGCAGAGCACCTGCTCCACCCCCTCGGGTTCTGCCAGCTGAGCCACCACGTTGGACCTAAGATGTTCAAACCATTTGCAGGTCCTCCCAAGACCAGCATTGCATCCGCATCTGGACAAATTCAAAGGTCTTAGCACCACCGTCGAGGAGTCAATCGCTGCACACACTCTGGGCAGGCGCTCCTCCCCACAGAACTCCAGAACAAAACTCAGAGTATGTGTCTTTGAACAGACCCACATGACCGAATGTGAATGTTTTTGACCATGTGCAGAGGCGGTCCTCCAAGGAGTCTCCCTCCAATAGTGCACCGAGCAGTCGGCAGAACCTCGACAAAAGAAGGTTCACGAAGCAACAACAACCTGAGCAGCTGTGACCAAGCCTTCGTCGATCTGCAGCATCATCTGCTGACGCCAGTGCTCGTTCAATCCTCCAGAGACAACTCAGTAACAACAAGCAAAAACAGGCTTGGAACCATCCAAAGTTCCATGCGAAGTCACATCTTAGGCCTTGCATCCAAGTTGCACCTCCAGCACGCCGCACTCAAGCATCAAGGTCCGGGACCTTGCGAACTACGCCACTGCCAAAGCGAATGTTAGCGTGCTGCCACGGTAAGTCCAGTGTTGCTGGACTCCCGGATCTAGCAACACTCGTGTTGACTCTTCTTTTCAAGGGACCCTTTGGCAGGCGACAGCGCCACCAAAGCATCCGTGGCCGCTTCTTGTGCTTCCGGCAGTCCTGACGTCAGTCGACAAGCCACAGGCTTTCAAAGCCAAATGAACACCAGGCTTTCTAGCATGTGGGAGACACGTCCAGCGGCCAGTGTCGAATGTCTCCGCCAGTCAAAAATTTAAACAGCCAGAACGGAGCTTGCCAGCGTCAAAGGTCGACACGGCCGGAATGGTTTCGGAATGATTCCGCTCAATGCATGAACGGCACGGATGCGCTATCAATCGACCTTCGGAAGGTGATGGCAGATTTGCCAGGTCAAGGTCATCATCATTAAAATACCCAAGGCGCCATGAGCTGCCTCATGGTTGGTGACAGGCCGATACCAGACAGAGACAAACAGAGGAAGACAGAGAGAGAGAGAGAGAGAGAGAGAAGAGTAATGTAGATGAAGCACGTAGTGGGGGTAATCACAGGCCCCGGGTGCACGTAGTGAGGGTAATCACAGGCCCCGGGCCCGTAAGGTGCGAAGCCTCGGCTCCGAGATGTCGCCACGGTCGCCTTTGCTCGGGAGCTTCAGCCCGTCAAACAGACATGCCGACCTGGACGCTCTGGTGAGATGTGGAGCAGCGAAGGGCATGCTTGTTTTGGTGGTCGTCTGCAGGTGGCGCTGGACACTGCAAGTGTGATAGGCATCCGGTTTGGGGGTAGATGTTGAAGCCCTCCGCAGCCCTGGACTGGGCACACTTTGTGGAAATCCCACTCATTCAGAGCTGGTTGACGCCTTCTCCTCGCGAGTGGTCTCAACTGCGCAGCGGCCGAGCTTTTATGCGTAAGCGCGGCCTGGCTTCTGCAGCGCAGTTTGCATGTTTTTTTTGCTTGCGTGGCGCGATCCGCTGCTCCGCCCATTCTTCTTTACGTCAGCAGTGCAACCCATGGTTCACACTTGTCTTGTTGTGCAGAACCAGTGCCGGATGATTTTTTTTACGACTATGATGATCTGTGATGAGTATCCCAGCGCAATTGCACCATTTGCGCGCATCTGCCGTTGCCAGGTCTTCCCTTCAGTATCCAGGTACAGCGAGCAGGCAGAAGAAGGCTGCACCCCACTGCTGATTCCGCTACAGGATTTGCTGCTGTTGTTCTTGAACACAGCGCGAGTCCTCCGAGAAGTCGAATGAGCTGCGGTATCGCGGAAGCATTTATGATCACAACGCGACACCTCACAAGTGGCAGCACTTCACGGGTCAAGACAGACTTAGTGGTTGAGGCCGCCGCGGTGGCGAAGTGGCTAAACTGGCCAATGTGTTGGCGAGCCGTATCTTCTCGAATGGAAGCACCTCAACATCTGATGTCCAGACTACATGCGAAGAGGTGCCCAGATTTAAGGAGAAAAAACCCTGTTTCCCGAGCCTGGTCGCCAGGTCGGACCTTGGCGAGTTCGGAAAAACACCGGCAAGACTTGAGTCGGCCAGAGATGCCATTGCACGACAGTACCGCATGAGCCAAGTCGGCGGTGAAACATACCGGAGTTGGGGAAGTCTACATACACCCTTGCTAGCGATGTGTTCCTGCCAGCGTCCATGGCCAGCCATATCGATACACGAATAGAACATCTGCAAGTCCAGGTCGTGTCCCAGGGCAGCATGATTCCAATCAATCAACCAACCAACCAACCAACCAATCAACCAATCAATCAATTCAACCAACCAACCAACCAACCAATCAACCAATCAAACATCAAACGCTCCATCATTTAATCAGTTGATCAATCAACCAAGCCGGTGTCAACTCAAACTGCTGCTCATCGATGCGTCTGGAGCCCGCACCAGCAGTGCAACGAGCGTCTTCGCACCACCTTTGACACTCTCATCGCATGTGCAACAGCACAGAAGGACGACAAAGGGACATGCTGACATGCCCACGGCAATGAGCAGCACTGTACTGAGAACGTCTCTAGCTTTTGTTCGCTAGGATCTCGACCCGATGCGATGATGCTGGAGCGGCCCTGGAGAAGCAGGAGAGACACCAAGGGATCACGAGGAGCGGCAAGGGGTGACAAAAGCGGCCTCCACTGTTTGAGCAAGTGCTTCCAGGGATCGAATAGCCTGAACCTTCTACAAGACCCCAGACTCGCATCGAGATGCCCGAGAACCATGGGAAAAGCCCGCTGCCCTATGCAGATGCACGAATACTCCGAGCTAGAAGCTCTCTGGTCAGGATGACCACCAAGCTGGGACAATGCCCTCGACACAGCCTTGGCGACTCACCTCACCTCTGCTCATGCTTGAGGGTGGATCCGCTAAGGACGAGACATCACCTTTGGATGCCAAGACTTTAGCACTTCTTTCCATGCCCCGTGCATGTGATGTGGTTGATATGATACAGCTGATTCTCCCCCATTGCGGTACATCTAGAGTCTAGAAGCGATTGCGAATCATTGAACAAAGCGCCGATTGCACGACAGATGCGATTCTGACCTGACGACCGGCCACCCTAAACTTGGACCAGGCAGCCTCATCTCTGCGTGCATCTATTGCACCAAGCAAGAGAGTAAGAGGGAGGCAGAGGGAGCAGAACCAAACAAGGTTGTGGCCGAATGCTTGCTACGTCTTTCATTTAGACGGGCATTTTCTTGCGTCTCGTAAAGGGCTTAGGGCTTAGAATGTACGTATCTTCTGTTTTAAATGGTTTTGTGTTTCTTTTGCCTTTAGGGCCCAGGGCTCAGGAGGCCTACGGCCCCTGTAGGCAAGCCTCCCAGCAGAGGGTTAGTTGCATTGAGGTTATCCTGGGCGGCACTGCCCGGGGCGAGGGGGCGATCATCGAGCGCGGCGCTACGGGGGTCGTGTGAGGGTCCAGGGGCCCAGCACAAGAAAGCCCTCCACCTGTATCTGAACGGACGGTTCTTCCGAGCAAGCTCCGCAAAGATTAACAGAAACCGGGGGGGTCCCCCCCCCCCTCCCCATTTGCAAACACAATGCTCGCATGCCGGGCTGGTTTTGGGGGCTTCTCAAAAAAAACGTGCGCTGCTTGTGGGGGGATACTTCAGGACATAAAAAAGCGAGGCGACCGACTGACTGGGTCGGTTGGTCAACGGACGCACCAATGCAACATAAAAACAACAACACAGAGAAACACCAGAAAAGAACCCCCACCCCTTAGAAGTTAGCAAGAAGCCGGCTGTTGCACACTCCGCGCATGTCCCATGTCTACTACTGCAAGATGAAAGCTAACTTTTGAAAGGCACATTTGTAATGTTTATACATTCTGGGCATTCAAGGTGGGTTTGCCCCTTGGCTATGCTTTGGGCAGGAGTTGGCCGAAAGCAGCTACCCGACCTTCAAGCATGAGATTTGGATGTTCGCAATCTCGATCCATATAAAGCTTGTGCAACCCTCTGTCGCGAAGCAGGAGACTGGGACTGGACCGAGCAGCTGGGATGCAGCCCGATTACACAAAAGCGCCGATGGATGTTGGATACCTTGACGGTTGGGGAAGCCTGGAAGCCCTGGAGTCCTAAAGTCAGCCTAACGTGCACCATCATTCACAGAATCAGAAGCAACAAAACCCAGAGAGAACCCTTCGAAAAGTCCCGCAGTCCAAGGGCCAAAGCATTTCATGCACGAATCTGCAGTGGGGCAGCGCAGCTTGTTCTATTGACAGCATGTGCACCCATCACACACATTTGCCATAGGCTGCCTAGTTTGAGCCGTGGCAATGCTCTGCTAAGTGAAACAACCCTCTGAACAAAGGTAAAACTTGAGCTCGCATCTCCTGGAGATCAGCTCGGAAGTTCCTGACGGTTCCACGGCTTTAATGGAACCCCAGCGTCCGAAGATTTTTCTTCACTAGAGGCCGCCTACTGCCCCAAGTGCAATGCAGATTCATGCATGTCTCTCCTCGGGAACTGGATCCAGCTCTGGATCATCCCGTGGTGAGCATTTTGGCGCAGGCCTCAAGATGCGTCTTTCGCAGCTTTACCGATGCCTCTTTGACGACAAACGATGGCCCTTCCACCTTTTCCAGCCCAGATTCTCACATGCAGCTAAGGTTCGCTTGGCTGAAGCGGGCAAACTTTATCGCATGTTGCCTTTTTTCCAGGCACCGTGTCCAGGCGCTGACGTTTCTTGCTCAAACTTGATATCATGCAGCACCAAGCTCAGGAGAGGTCTCGGTGCTTGGACATACCCATGGCTTCCAAATAGCCTCAAAGGAGTTGAATGGTCCAGCTAGGAGCTGGCATGTGCGTTACACCTGCTCAGAAAGGATCATACAAGGGCCTGGTCGGACTGAGACTCCTGAGCAACGGTGATGCATTCCTGTCCGGGTGTTCAACCAAATGGGTAGTTCAACATCTGCCTCTGCCTCACGGCACCCAGGCACTGAGGCCTGAAAGACTGCCGAGCGATCCGAACTTGGAGGGCACATCGCACACATCCAGGAATCCTCAGCAATCTCAGAGCAATGCATCGCAATGCATCGCATGAAATATCGCGGCTGTCACGGCTCTTGAAGGCTCAGTGCGCGCTGGTAATGAAGGTTTGATCATGTCCAGCTAACTGGGGCAAGTTTTTGCAGGGAGGTGGACAATGTAGTAGGTCAGCGACCCATGCACAAGCACTTCGCTGCGACGCTTCATGCAAAAGCGAGACCTGCGAGGCAGATCAGGGGCAACGACACGACGCTAGCCGCTACAAGTCTTGGAGTGCCAGAAGTGCCAGGGAGGAACATGTCTTGGCGATCGCGCCAGGCGTGCATGCTTTCCAAGTCGTGCATGTGACTAACCTTTTTCTGATGCTCTTGCAATCTCCTGCAGGCTGACAGGTGCCCAGGCCTCAGATCCACACAGAGGCACAGGGCCAAAAAACTCGCGAGCTGGCATCTGTTGTCATTTGCCAAGCAACGGGATGTGAAGATCAAGAAGTTTCTCAAGACCAGCCCTGACCAACTGAAAATCGGAACAAGAAATCCGGAATCCCTCTTCTGACACGCATGCGCCTGTGCCTGTATTTGCAGTTCTCGTTGCCACTTCTCTTCTTCGTCATGTCGGGACTGCAACAAGAAGATCTCCTGAGAGAAAACACTGCGGGGAATCTGTGGAATCCACACGCTGGCTACGTCGCAAGATCTGCAAAGGACCTGAAAGTGCTTCACACCAGTCCTCCGCACCGAAGCTCACAGAGGAAGTTGATGGATCATAGTGCTTTTTCAAGGCCTCAGAGAAGAGCAAAACCGGTGCTGAAAACTAACGGGCTTGTTGCACATGCTTTTGACCTATTTCAGGCAAGGCACATGCTGTTCTTGCCCGTGCTGCTCGTCGTGCTGCAATCTGTCAAGCCTTTGATGATTCGCCTTGTGACAGCACTGAAATCTTGCTTGCACACAGGCGAATGAAGTCTTGAGTCACCAGCCACATCACGATGCCCTGGAAGTCTGTCAAAAAAGCCACGAACCAACAAGCAAGTACTTTCAGACACAATATCTTTGACACAGACGATCGCAATTCGACGATCGCGATTCGAATTTACATGGAAAAGCAGGGTCCCTTCAAGCGATGTCAAGCAGCTGGCTAGTGCAGGCTAATGGAAACACCATCGGCAGCAATCCCATCCCTTCGGTAAGCATGCAATCGGCTGGCGAAGCGGTCGAGGGCCCCTGCCTTTGCGAAGGCGCATCAGCCTGCAACTGCGCAGAATCGAACTGAACTACGCATCGACTATAGTCGATAGCACAGTGCTCAATGTGGTCAACAACCCGTGGCACAGGAGCTGTTGTGTCTGTGTCGAAGAGAGGCTTATTCGCAGTGATTCACGTCGGGCGGCTTCCGTCGACGTTCTGTCGCCACGCCGCCAGAATCAGCTCGAGGAAGCGGAATCCTTACGGAGGTGCAGGTTAAGTTGATTTCTTACACCTCTGAACAGCGCATATAAAATGCCAGGATCGTCCTGGTGGCTTTGGAATGAGGAGTCTTGACCTCTCCAAGTTGCAAGAGTCGGCCCGAGCCGCTTGAGACTCATTGCCAAGAGTGTCCTTAAGTCCTTCAACATCTCTCCAACACCGCAGACGCCCACCTCGTCTGATGCCTCGACGCTCCTGGGCGATGACTTGGCCTCGAGCAGAGGAACATCGAGAGGAACTGAGGAAGGTGAGACTATGTGCGGCCACCAACACATCTTCGAAACATGCAAAGCTAAGGCCCAGCTGAGAGCAACATAGGAGCCACCTCTGCAAAAAGGATTGCGCATCAATGCTCCAGATCCACAGAGGCATGGCGCCTCCTTCGTCTCCTCAGAATACTTCTGCCTTGGCTCCAGAAAAACAAAACAGACAAAGCGCCTCAAAGCGTGTCAAAGCAACAGCTCACGCCAGAGAATGATGCGGCTATGTGCAGCTAACACGCTCGTGAAGAACAAAGAAGGGATTTAGGTCTGCGCGCTCCTGGCACACAGCAGAGGCACATTGATGCACATGCTGCACCATTTTGCGGAACATCTTCCAGCTTGCGATACTTTGCGTGAGGACAACTCGAACTCGTCCTGCATGTCAGCGGCTTCGGGGCTTGGGAAGAAGTCCTCCGCACAGCAGTTGGGGCATCTTCGTTCAGTAAACAGCTTTGCCTCATGGCAGTCCATTGTTGCTGGGGCTGCCGCAGAATCGGCTGACTCAGGCCTTTTTCAAAGACCCCAAACGCCGAATATTTGCCGAACGGTAAACGGGGCTGAGCCTGGGAGTCGCTGGGCTCGGACCATGCCTGCCCACTAAGAATACTAAGATGACATACGGTAGATTGTGACATACCCTGCTCCTCGTCATACCTCATTGTACTCTATACTCTAGAGCGAGAGCCTGACAGGAAAAGGCCGGCAGCAAAGCAAAGCATCCGGATTTTCATCGTCGTCGCCTCACTCCCACTGCTATTGCAGAATCGGCCGGGAATAAGAGGGTGAAGCAATCATGAAAAGCAGAGTCCCAAGACTTAGTTGTGGCGGTCTCAGGGATGGAGACACCGCCACAGCCATGACACGCCTTAGCACTGCGACATTGCAAAGGCGACAAGAGAGATTTTCAAGGGCATTCGCCATGCTTGAGCCACTGTTAGCTATCATCACCCGTGCGCCAGACTGAAGCGGAGGTGGTGTTGAAGTGAGCCTTTGCCCAACAAGTGAGCATGTCTTGGACGCAATCATGTCAGCAATGAAGCGAATGAGCTTGTGTGAACTGGGCTTCCTGCGAGGGTTTCAGCACCTCCTCGGCGGTAATCACATGCACTCTACGTCACAAATTGAATGCTATGAGACCTGTTATTGCTGTGTACACTCGGATGCTAGACACTGCATGTTGTATGCCAGCGAGGTCATGGATCCCTGCCGTGCATGGTCACGTGACACACTGGGGCCCACACATGCGGAGGGTGCGACGGAAACCAGACCTGCCAGCAGCAATCACGAGAAAGTAAGCGCGACGCAGCACATCTTGAAGTGAATGATCCCCAGCATCTTGAGGGCCGCACCGGCTGTGCAAAGTTTGGCAAGCTTGGCCTTACACGGGATGCACTCACTCGGAAAGCATGGCTGTTGCATTTGTCATTGCTCAAGGTCGCAAAGGCAGCAACCCCGGCCGCGCAACCTCAGAACCCAAAAGCGCATCGCCTGTTCTCAGAGAAGCACGGACCAAGTGTCAGGCAGCACCCGGGATGAAGATGCCACCCCTGATTTCCCCGGAAGCTCTTCTGCAGGTTGCCTTCTCCTGGCAACTGCAGGCACTCATTCTTGCAGCTTGGAGATTCTTTGGGGACTCTGTAAGGTCAAGACGCACAGATCTGGACGGGTGAGCTGCAGATGCTTCCTCAATCGCTCAGGCGGGTGCAGTTAACGTCTTACCGAAAATTTCTCCAGGAAATCAAAGCCCAAGCAAGCCAAGCTGCTCGTGCTGCCACGTGGAGTTCTCTTTGAGCAACCTGTCTGTCTTGATGTTCCGACTGTGCAGCCTGAGCTCGACTGGACAGTCAAAAGCAAAGCGAATGAGATACATCCCCAGCGGGCCCGCTGATGCTGTGGATGTTGCCGAATGCTTAGCTAAGCAACTGCCTCTTCAGCCGCTCCTTCTCTTTTTGCTTCTCGGCCACCATGTTCCTGAAGTCTAAGACATGAGACAGCTGAATATCATATGATATAATAATACACTATGCACAAAGGGATCACACCACTTGTGCCGTACTCGTACTCTTATGAGTTGGTCACCGATTGCAAGGGCGGCCAGGAGGCGGAGACCACTGTGATGGCTTGGTAATCACCAAGTCTTCCCATTCCCGTTGTTGTCGTTCCATCAACCTCTCCACAAGAAAATGGTATCCACAACACACTGACACAAACAAGTGTACAAACAACACAGTGCACCCTTTGTTAAGCCCCGCCTCTGAAGCTGCCGGCGATGTGGCGCATCATGCACCTATGAAGAGTGGAGTTACCCCATCTCTCTCTATGGCACTTTGGCACAATGTCGACCGAGGCACCTCGACCTTCGGCTCAGAAGGAGCTGTCCGGGCCCTGGCATCAAATCGCAGGTGCTCCAAACATTGCTTTTGGCATCTTTTGACTTCTTGATGTTCTTTGGCATCTGCCGCTTGGCTTCACAGGGCCTTGCAGCTGCAACTGGAGCTGCATCATGTCCCTGCCAAGATGTTTGTCAGAGATTGTCGCGTCTAATCAACAGGGGTAGACCTCACAATTCGGCGCAAAGGTCAGAAGTAGCAGCAGCAAAGACAGGCAACAGCAAGCAATGAAAGCTGACGCAATGAAAGCTGACGCAATGAAAGCTGGCGCAATGAAAGCTGACGCAGCTGAGCCTGGCTGCGCGCTCTTGACTCTGGATCCTCGCAGTGAAAGCATTCTGCTTTGCCCAATGTCGCTCAACCAACGGATGACAAGTCTCGCCTCGGGTCCGGCAACCACCTGGAAGCACATCAGGCAGTATTTATCCATGTTTATCTACATCTGCTGGCTAGGTCAGATCAGCCACAGCAGGGCAAGACCCGCGCCTGTATTGAGTCCCCACTGGGGCTCAACATCGTTTTCAGGAAGTCCGCACGGCCTCACTCTGCAAGCAGTGGAAGACTAGTGGAAGTCTCCGGAAGCGGCTAGTCATGAGCTTCAAGCGCTGCATGCGCCCCACCATTTGAAGTCCAACTGCAACCATTGCCTTCCCATTTGCTTAGCAGATTGGATGCCATGGAATGCTCTCCATCACATGACGCACAAGGATGCACATCATCGGATACTGTTGAGCTCGCAGGATGCAGGCTCTGTCCATCGGCCCGAGAACATCAATGTGAAACGTCAAGGGCATCTCTGCCGAACGAGCTGAAGTCATGCAGTGACAACCGGCTCTCAGGCGAGGTGTTGCCGAGACTTGACGAAATCTGGAAAGGGTAGCAAGGAGACGTTGGAAACCGCTTCAGCGTCTATCCGGACGGAACTTCAACTCCTTAGATGCATCATGGACTGCACACAAGTTTCCCAAGCAGGGGTTGCAACTTCAATCGAGCTGCGCATGCTCAATCCAATGGCTTCCACGCTCCCTCCAGACCAGACCGTAGCCAACTGCCTCTGAAGTTCCTCTGTCACCTCAATCACAAGCGCTGCGAGGCAACACGGGCAGCAAATCTCACCTGTACTGCAACAGTACGGGAACCTTGCTCTGGGAAACACACAGTCAAGTTGCCTTCGAGGCAGACTGGGTCTTGACAAGTGCTGCGATACTGTCCGCAGAGTATTTGTCGTTGCGCAGCACATTGATCGAATATCGTGCTATCAAGTGGTTCGCCTGAAGCACACTTCTCGGGCTAGAAACATGACTGTTTTCGCGCCACAGAGACATGTCCGAGAAATGCAAAATGCTCGAGGCAATGCAAGCACGAAGTCTCATCCTGCTCTGAGGATCGTTTCTATGACTTCTGTGTGCACATGTGTGCATGTTGCTTCCAAGACTGACTTGCTACCACTGTTGCTGAGTATGGTGGTCTGCCTTGTCCTCAGCGGATACAGTGCGCAACGTTGCCGTCACTGACTCTGGCTTCACGGAAGCGAGGGTCGCCACTGCCTCAACAGTTCCACAGAAGATCACTCAATCACATTCAATCACATTCACTCAATCACACACAGAGTGGAACCGTTTTTGTTTCGATGCACCGGCCTTCGTGATTGCAGTCTTGGTAGCAGCGTTAATAAGTAGCTGGTCAGCATGCTCGGCCTCGGTTCAGCAGAGGCTTGGGCCATTGTTTCTTAGCAGATGGCACGAGAAACATCCCCGCATCAGTTGCGCCATGGGCGCATATCTGCATAAGCTTGAAGTCCGAGAGTCGTGAAGCGTCAGATTACCAGCCACCTTTGCAACTACATCTTGTCCTCCCTGCGTCCAATCTCGCTTTAGAGTGGCTATTGTTGATCTGGATCTGTCCTGATCTGCGCTCGTGATCCAGTCATGTTTCGAGGGGAAACACAGGACAGCACGGGATCAAGCCGTAAGCAAGCACATGCAACAGAACTAGGTGTCTTGCCAAGTGTCATAAACGTCCAAAGTGGCTTTAAGGTCATCTTTGAGACATGGAGCTGCATTGGGAAAGCTCTTGTGTTGCTCTGATGGGAAGTGCTTGGAGATGTCTGCATGAGAGGGTATGCCCTTGCTCCCCCCATGGTCCGACACAGGGTCCCAGCCTGTCGTCAAGTCAGGCGACATGCCCCGCATCGCTGCCCGAGCTTCCTCGAAGGTATAATTGGGTGCCCTTGGCGCACCAGGCGTTCCTGGGAGTCCTGTGAGGCCACTGGACAGCGGCGCAAGCCCTGATGGCGCCAGCTCCACGTCGCCAGTCGGCGCAATCTGTGCTGTGCCATAGCCGGGTGCAGGCATTCCAGGCATGTCTGACGTGTTCGCTGCGGCGCTTGGCGTCGGAGTGGGACACAACGTCCTGGACAGGAAGTTGTTGGTGGTGCTACTCACGGCAACCCTGAGGACGCAAGGCAGTAGATGAAAGGACATGATATCTGGACATCTTGTATATCACTAGACTCTAGACAAGGCTCGGATTGGGTGCATTTTGGCATTCTTGCGTCTCCAACAAGTCGCGCTTGCATGGTCGTCCACCATTTCGTTCCTGCATTCTTGCGCGCTTGCGAGATTGAACTCCAAATCCGCATGATGTACTGCAATAGCCCCACGAAGACCAATCTGTGAGAACACAATCCACGGGACACACCTGCGTGTTGCAGTATTCTCCATCCTCGCTGAAATCTGCACAGGGTGTCCCCCCATGCTGGGCCTCCTGAAGCTTTGCACGCACTCTGTGCCTCCATCCACCGTCACAAGACTGTGTGCAGTCAGTCCATGCACCCCAATCATCCCATTTGCAGTCGCGAGGGCAAAACGATTCGTGACATATTGCCTGCTCTTCATCTTCTCCAATGCAGGGTAAGCCATCGTTCTTTTGTGGCACTACAACATCCCTGAAGCGCTTTGTAAGCCCGTCATCACAGTGCACAGAGCACGCTGTCCACCTGCTCCACGGACCCCACTCGCAATCCACCGCACAGCCCTCCCTGTTGCATTCGGCTTCCTGCACAGGCGTTCCTTCGCAAGGCAAACCGCCATACTGTTCTGTCACAGCCCTGCTCCGTGTACGTGATGTGCTGCCCAACTCACAGCTCTTCGAGCAGTCAGTCCATTGTGTCCAGGAAGACCACTGACAGTCTATTGGGCATTCCTGCTGGTTGCATGCCTCGACATTTTCATCGCTGCCCTCACACGCCGCGCCACCGAACATTGCCATTGCCTTCTGTCGATGCTGAGACCTCTCCCCTCCGCCACAGGTCGCAGAGCAGGCGAACCATTCGGACCAAGCTTCCCATGCACAGTCCAGAGGACATGCCTCATGGTTGCAGCCAACCTTATCTTCGGACATTCCCTGACACAGCATTCCCCCATGAGCAGCTGGAATCAGCTCTGTTCGAGATCGATATGCTTGGCCTCCACCGCAACTCGATGAGCAGGAGCTCCACTCCGACCACAGGCTCCAAACACAATCTTGGGGGCAGGCATTTGAGGCACAGCTCTGTTCTTCGTCGAAGGGACCAAGACAAGCGTGACCCCCGAACTCACTTTGGGCATGGACGAGGCGAGCCCGGGTCTGCGTGCCATTGCCACATGTGACCGGGCAGGTAGACCAAGGCCCCCAATCCGAGAACGTGCAGTCATGGGGACAATTTCCAGCATCGCAAATCGCTTCATCATCAACTGTTCCATAGCATGCCTGCCCTCCATGTTCTTCATATGTCAGCCTTGTCCTGTTGCGATTGCTCATGCCCTGCCCGCAGCTGACAGAGCACTGGTGCCAGTCACTCCAGTCAGACCACTGGAGTCCACAGGACAATGCTCTTGAAGCATGCAGTCTCCCGTTTCCGAGCTTTCGCCGTCACACTCAGCTCCGCCATTCTCGGCAGGAGCTTTGATGGATCGATGGCGGGACTTTGCGCCCCGCCCGCATGATGCAGAACACTCCCAGTCACTCCAATCACCCCATTGGCAGGCAAACGGACATGGGCCTGCATGGCAAAGGCCATCCTGAGCGTCCTCGCCCTGACAAGGCAAGCCACCAAACTCCTCGACACTTTTTTGGCGCTTGCGTCGGCCGGTACCATCTCCACACGAAACTGAGCAGCCCGCCCAGTCTTCCCAGTCTTTCCACTCACAATCCTTGGGACATGCTTCCTGCTGACACGTGCGGTTTTCCATGCCAACTCCCGCACAATCCAGACCATCACCTTCGGCAGGAGTTTTGACCAGACGGACACGTGTAGTGTGCCCACCGCCACAAGAGGAAGAACAAACATGCCAATCACTCCAGTCAGCCCAAGCACAGTCAACCGGGCACGGGTCCACGCTGCAATATTTTTTCTCATAAAGATGGTCTTGGCCAGGACAAGCCCCACCGTTCTCAGACGGCTGAGCAACTGTCCGTGTTCGTTCTGCAGAGGCAGAACCGCAGGTGACAGGGCAAGAAGTCCACAGAGTCCAGTCAGACATTGTGCAATGCACAGGACAAGGAGCATTACTGCACTGCCTGTTTTGGTCCGGCTGTCCCTGGCAAGCTTCTCCAAATGAGTTTGGCTGAACAGAGATAGTCCTGAATCTCGCAGACATTCCGTCACCACACGATGTTGAGCATTCTTGCCAACTACTCCAATCAGACCATCGGCAATCAACTGGACAGACTCCTCCATCACATGTTTTTGATTCGTGCAAACTATCGCACGATGCTCCGCCGAAGCTGGCAGCCTTGCTGATTGTGCGGCTGCGCTGGGTCACGCCTGAGAACATGGGACCATGCTCTGAACGAGCCGCTCGAGGTTTTAAGGATGCTTTCCGGACAGCTCTCGTCATTCAAGGTTTAAAAATGGTGCGGCATGACATGGAGTATGGTACAAAGTACAAAGCTGGAACATGATAGAAGCACTGCATATCACTCGGGACGTTTTCGTTGCAGTAGTCAGATGTAGTCAGGACGGAGGTAGGTAGGAGATGGTAGGAGATGGTAGGAGACGGTAGGAGTAGCATCCAAACTCCCCTTGCCTGCACCACACGTCACGCTGCACAGCGACCATCTCCCCCAGTCATCCAGCTGGCAATCTACGGGGCAATCAATGTGTGCGCCGTCCGTGCTCTCCGTGGTCGGTCCTTCACAGGCCGTACCCAGCTCATTGGCCGGCATCAGTACCTGCCGGTGCCGGTGCTTTGTGCTAGGGCCGCAGCTTGCGGAGAAGGACCAATCGCTCCAGTCACTCCAAGCGCAATCCACTGGACAGGGATCCACATTGCAGTCCAACTGGCGCTGAGAAGCTCCTGCGCATGCCACTCCTCCAAACTCAGCGGATTTTGCATCTCGCGTTGAGACTGAGATCCCGCGCCCACAAGTCAAAGTGCATGAGCCCCAGTCGGTCCAGTCGTTCCAAGTGCAATCTACTGGGCACTCTCCGTTGGTGCAGGTTCTTTCCTCCTTCCAATTCCCATCACATGAGCCACTGCTCTCAGCGTGCTTGATTTCTCTTGTTCGGAGCGACACCCCAGCGCCACAGGTGAATTGACAAACCGTCCAGTCTCCCCACAGCTCCCACTCGCAGTCAGAGTCTTCTGCGGTGAGCGAGACTGGCCCTGATCTTGTCTTTGGCATTTCAGATCGCATGATCGGCGAACCTGCTACAACCGCTCGAAGCTGCCGTGCGGTGCTCTTTAGCAAACTGCTCGGTGACCATTCTCCGTGCTCATTTGGCTCTTGTGAATCTTGCTGTCGGCTGGCACTAATCTCATATGCTGCTCCACAAGAGATCCAAGTGCAAATCAAGCCGACAAGGGCAGCCCTCGCCGCAGGACCGCAATGCGCTGGCATTCTATGGCATAGCCTGAGATATGTAAGAGGATCCACAGACTTGGACAGGGTGGAAGCTGAAAATGACAGAAAGTTTGTCTGAGCCAAAATGTCACATTGCATCACCTGCAGTCTCAAGATAATGCAAACTATTTTCAAACTCACCATGACTTGCTCAAGCTGTAAGCAAGAGAGCATCCAGCCTCCCTGAGATCTGCGGGAATTCGATTGCGAGCATCGGTAAGGTCCATCCGAAAGACGGATACCTCTGCAACCCTCTGGATTTCAATAAGTGCTTGGCGCGAAGATGCACCTCTGGACTTGCACAGACAATGGTGAAGGGCTCCACGTCCATACCGCCGATCTCAGAAAGCACGCATGCACAGCACCCTTGCGCATCAGGTGCCAGCAACAGGCAATGTGCAAAAAGGTTCGCACCGTCGACAAGCCAATGATCTGACCTCTGCCAATTTCTCCAACCTCCTACGAGGCTCCAGAACTGTCGCATCTTTAACGGAACAGCATAGTCAGCTCCAAGGTCCTGAGCCCTTCCTTCTCTGGATGTTCGAACTTTGCAGAGGCCATCCTGGCAACCATCCAAACTGCAACCGCACAAGCACTCACTTCGCATAACACAAGACAGGTGCGCTCTAATCAGCGTGAGCCGCTCACAAGGCTTGCCAGCCACGCACAGCCTCACTTGGAGACCAAACCCTGAAACGCAGCACAAACAAAGACCCAAGGCGGGACGCAGCAGCAAAGTGGCGCACACGTGTCCACGCCTCACCTGCTGTTCAGAAAAGAACCCCCCAAGGACCTGCAGAGCGGGGCAAGATGGGCGTCAGCTAGTGTTACAAGCTTGCTCGAACGGATGTGTAAGCTTTTACAAACCGAGCAGGCCAAGTGGGCATTGATTGACAATCACTGAGCACTTTCGAATCCCATCCGCCTGCGCATGGTCTTCCCCCTTCAATGTCCTCGGCCTTCACTTAGAATCACCAAGTGACACTTGCTTTAAACGAATGGGCCGGCAAGCACCCTGCAAATGGTCTCGTAGGAAGTTCACTCGCCCTTGTTCCTGCACTCTGCGAAACAGCGAGCCTATTTTTGAGGAGGCGCCTTGCACCCAAGTAGTACTAGCGGCCACTAGCAATCACTAGCAATCACTAGCACTGAAAAACGTCTTCCCTCCGCATCCTTCGCCAGGTAGGCTGCACGAAGCTTGCTCTCAAAGAGAGCTTTGCTGATGCAGCCCAACCTTGCACAGCCCACGAACATGAAGAAAACAAGTAGAAAAAAGCAGCTTCAGCTGCTTCGTGTGGAGCCGACGTCTTATGTGAATTGCTTTAGGCTGGCAAGATGACAAGCGCAGGCACCGAGGACTCGTGCGGCTGATTCTTGACAATAACCAGCTATCAGCTATTGCGTGGGACTGCGGCTGACAAGCTTCAGCAGCGACGATTGACCTAATTGGCCGAGACGTCATGAATAATCTTGCCGCTGCAAGAATGCAAGATTGCAAGACGGCATGCGACTAAGCCTGGCACGCATTCCGACGAGCACCGTGCAAAAGCCCAGTCTGAGCAACCGAATCTCAAGCTTCCACAGGCACCCTATGGATGAGGATGAACATCAAATTCAAAAAAGGAATTAAATTCGAATTTAATTCATTCTGGACGGGCAGCCCACCCCCCGCAGGCCGAAGGATTCAATTCGAATTTAATTCCTGAAATGAAGCCTCGTAGCACAGCACTTAAGCTTAAAATTGAATTTAATCCTCCTTCCTGCCGGAAGGATTAAATTCAAATTTAAGCTGCCTCATAGTTCGACGAGGTTGCACGGTCACTCGCACTTCGGTTTTCGCACGCTCGGCCCTTGCTCTACGCTTCGGTTTTTACACTCTCGGCCCTTGCTCCAGCTTGGCGCGCTTCGGTTCAGGGTTTCAGGGTTTTGGGTTCAGGGTTTGAGGGCTTTGGGGTTCAGGGTTTGTTTTGGGTTGAGGGTTTGAGGGCTTTGGGTTGAGGGTTTGAGGGCTTTGGGGTTCAGGGTTTAAAGGTTTTTGGGTTCAGGGTTTGAGGGCTTTGGGTTGAGGGTTTGAGGGCTTTGGGGTTCAGGGTTTAAAGGTTTTTGGGTTCAGGGTTTGAGGGCTTTGGGTTCAGGGTTTGAGGGTTATGGGTTCAGGGTTTGAGGGTTTTTGGGTGCAGGGTTTGAGGGCTTTGGGTTCAGGGTTTGAAGGTCTTCGGTTGAAGGTTTGAGGGTTTTGGGTTCACACTTTGAGGTCTTAGGGGTTCAGGGTTTTAGGTTGGCTTTGGATTTCTCTACAACACCACTGCATGGCAATAGAATTCGAATTTAACTCACGCGTGCTAAGTACTGTATGGTAACATAATTCGAATTTTCCCCGCGCGCTAATGACTCGGCAATCTAATTCGAATTTAATCCCCGCGCGCTAATGACTGTATGGCAATATAATTCGAATTTAATCCATAATTCCGAAAGAGAATTAAATTCAAATACAGAATTAAACCTGCCTGGCAGGGCTTAAATTCGAATTTAAAGCCAAGTCTTCGCGATAAGGATTAAATTCAAATGTAACCCCCTCAACACGGAGCCCTGGTCCTCGCAGGGGCTTAAATTCGAATTAAATTCAGAAAGCCATTGGAGGATTAAATTCGAATTTAAACCCCCTCGACGGGCAGATGGATGGCCGCTGAAGCAGGTCTGAAATTCGAATTTAATCTTTATTGAATCTGAAATTCAACCTTATTCGGCACCCTATCGCACCCTATCCAAACATCACGTATTGCAATTCTCCCGCCAACGTGAGTCCCAGAAGACCGTCTGATCATCGCGTAGGTTGCAACACAAAACGCCAAATATCGTCCAGTGGCTCTGATGTTCTTCAGAATACCGTGATTCGAGGTCTAGCTGAGTCTAGC